ATTCTGACAGAGGTAATGCTGGAGGTGGATGGGGATGCAAGGCGTGGTGAGTACTTTCAGGCGGTAGCTGTCCAGAAGAAGACCGCTGTGAAACAAGCTGCTGATCCAGATGAGCGTAGCAGGTTTAGTGAAGCAGACAGAGAAACTCGTATGTCTGGGATCTTCACCAGTGGAAACTCGAAGTCAATCTCAGATTTGACTCACAGAGAGACAAGTACCGTAGTTACACAAGTGAGGATTTGTGTTTGGTCGATTATTTCATTGTTGTAACAATGCTTTCTGTGCGATAAGTCTGTTTATTTCCCTTTGAATGGTGCCACTTTTTTAAGGAAAACTTATTCGTCTCAGCAGAGATGAGTGTTTGGGTCGAGTCAATGGAAAACTTCCCAACGCTGATGAAATGCTGAGTTGTATTTTATTAAAAAAAAAAAAAAAAGCAGAGGCTTGAAGCGCTTGAGATGTATATGTTTGATTAACTTTTAACAGACACAAATACAGAAAATAACGCAGTAGATAAAAAACCTAAATCTTGATGAAACTACAACTCCCCAACCTTTAACTCAGAATGAAATTAAGTAGGAATGGAAAGTTGATGAAAAAAACATGTCAAAATGTCATTCTGGTACCGGTCTGCTATGTCTTGCTGATGTTATAATTGTACGCCTATATTTTTCATGAAGAACCTCTAGCTTCATCTCAAATGTACTTCATCTCTGTGGTGCACTGCAGCAGAGTTGTTACCCTCGCTGTGGACACTTGGTTTTGATAAATCACAATCCGACCTCCTCGGTGTCCCCGTTTGACACCTAACAATGAAAACCGATGCAATGATGATAGCCCGCGGTCTTACAAGGGGCGACGAAGCACAGTACTTAATTGGAGCCAGGTTTTAACTCTCCACCCTCAAAAAAAAAAAAATGCAAACCTCAGCTGAACGGTGCTGCTTTTATAATATTATTTTCTCCTCCATCTTTTACATTGAAGAGTCTGAAATATTCTATGCCAATCACATCAAGAGGCACCCTGGGAACAAGTTCAGGCACAAGTTCAAAATATGCTCACAGAGCAGGAGTGTAGCTCTGAGCTCCCTCCTCAAGGATTTTTGAGGGGAAAAAAATAGCTACGAGACAATTTCTCTAAAGTTCAGAATTTTTTTGTTTTTGTTTTTTACTGTTTTTTTTTTCTTTTTTTTTTTTTTTTTTCTTTTTTTTTGTCACTGCAGCAAAATCTAATCCAAGATGAATGAATGTGTTTATTGAAATTGTAGGGATTAAAATGGATTAGATCTGCAAACAAGTCCGTGATGCTATTTCTTGCCAATCAAAAGTTCACTGTAAACAATATTTCACTATGTACAACTTGTTGTTGAGTGTTATGTGGATTACACAGAGTGATAGTCTGAATCTTAATTACTATAAATAACGTACAGGTAGATAATTGAGCTCTCTGGGGGTATTAAATTACTCTCTCTGATGATTTTTGTTAAAAAAAAAAGCCACTTTCACGCATCAAACGTGAGATTTCTTATTTAGATTGAAAGTTTTTGCTTTAGCTCAATATGTAAATCATTAGACATATTCCAGTATTGTAGCTCTCAGAAGAGCAATACTCCACATCATCATTAAAAGTCGGTGAAAGTAACTTTTAATGGCGTCTTCCCTTGTTATCTCACTAAAAATAACCTTGGACATTATTATGCATCAAAAGCCAATGGCTGATACCGTCTCCTGACCTAGAAAACAAGGACAGTTTCCTGAAAGTTTTTAAACATTTAAACGCTTTTTTTTTTAAAAGCCCGTTAACATTTCTATATCTTTGCCTTGAAATATTATTGGTATGTTTTACTGGATTTTTTTTTAAAATGCTCCCAAAAGAATTGACAAGGTATTAGACAAGCAGGCCTCAAGCCAAAGAACAATTGATTAAGATCTGGAGATGTTCCAGGTCTGGAGCTTCCACCATTAGGCTGTTATTGGTTTTAATCCATAGCTACAAATTTAAGGAGGATGGAAGCTTGATTCCAAATCCTGAGGGCACATTCGCAAAGTGAAGGAATCAAATTAACCTGTGCGTGGCATGTTAGGAGAGATCTCTTTGGAGACAGCGTTTGGCAAAGTAGTCTCAGCCTTAATCAGATTTGGACACCGATAGGACCGAGGAAATGATTGTTGCAAGTGGGAATGAGCCTCCAAAGCTTTTAATGGTTTTAATGAAGTATGCTTTGCTCTTTTATCTCTGTCCACCAATTCTTTACAAACGCAGTAGTAATTCCCTTTCAAGGATTTGGATGTGGAGGAGTGCTCACCAAAAGCTGTTCTCAAATATATATCTGTGGCTGCGCTCCTGGCATTATTAGGTCCTGGAAGCACCTCGGGGAATGCTGTGGCTCCTCAAATTTGAGGCAATCTGTGACACAGTGTGTGCAACTCTGCTTGCGTGACCCTGTTAAATGAGTTTAGTTTGAAGCCGATCCTGATTTGACAAGAATGACGAAACAGAGAAATTTTTGGAGGGTATGACAGCAGCCTAAGCTGGAATTTATTACGATCCTGGAGAAGTATCTCATCTCTGCATCTCTGAATGAATCGCCTTGATTCCTCTAGCGTTGTTTCAGACGTAGCTTGCCATTATTAGTGTATGAATTTGCCCTTTTAGATTTCAATTTGATATAAAGGGAATTATAAATCAAATTTATTATTATTATATACACCTTGATAGTAACAACTTGTCGTAGATATGTTTTACATGTGCATCACAGAAGCAAAAGTTGTCTCGAAATAAGCAAACCCTTTAAGTGAAATTCTAACAAAATCAGTCGCATCCAACAACCTTTAAAATACGGGTTAAGGTACTGACAACCACTCAGTGAACATTTACTCTACAAGACACATTCACTTGTTCACACTCATGCCATCCTACACAAAGGTACATTGACACGGGGATTCAGGAACTAAACCTGCAACCCAGACAGACAATTTACTCTTCCCACTGAACTGCAACTTTCACCCCGTCCATCCACAAATCTATCTGTCTGTCCATCACGCTTCCTGTTCGGAGTAACAGAGAGTCACCACGGAGCAGGGAGGACAGAAACAAGCATTTAATGCTCTTCAAAGAAGCTTCAGTTGTTGCTGTGTTGTTTTCCCTGAACTCAGATGTGTATTTATCAGGAGCGGCAGGACTGGGTGTGCAGAGAGCAGAGCTCTGTCCAAGGTGAGTGACACGGTGATTATAAACATTTGTTTGTCTCTTTTTAAAAGAAAAAGGCAACCATTGCATCAATAGTATAGTTGCTAGTTTATTGTGCGTGGCTGTTAGGTTGCATTTTAATTTACTACGTGTCATATGGTTACTTTAATGGTGCAGCATTTTTACTTAAAGATTACAATAAGCAACGCATTAAGAACTTGGCATTTTATATAGGAATCTGGTCAGTCTACCATCTGAAACAGATTTTTTTTTTTTTTCCATATTTAAATTTTTCTTTTTTACACTCAGTGGCAGGTGTGATTTCAAACATAACTGTGTACAATACCTAAAGAAGTGCTTCTATTACACTGTTTTAGAAATATGTAAGAGTGTAGAGGTAAACAAAAATACATATACATTAACAAGAAAAATGTAAATGCTTTACTTTTTTTATCTGGAATAAAATGTCAGTTCAGCCCCCTGAGATACAGCTGGTTTCTTGATAAGTGTCTCCTTTTTTTCTTTTCTCTGTTATTGCAAAAGGAATTTACTGAAATCATATCCAAAGACCTAATCCAGCTGTAAAAGGAAGTCCTTGGCATTAACAACACTTCTATTAAAAATGTAACACATAACTGAAACTTAAAGCAGCTCTCCAACATTTGTTTGGTTTGTGTTATTCCTTTTTTTTTTTTTTTTTTTTTTTTTTTCATTATTTCCATCTTGTAAGACAAGCAGTGTTGGATGTCCTTGAGACTTTTGTAATAGCTAAATATCTTTCTGACAGAGAAAATTAAATAACTTATTTAATGTCTCATGACAGGAAGTCGGTGTATCTAGGGACGTGTTGAAGATGACTGACTGATGTCTAAACCGAATTGCATCATGGTTACTAGTCCCAGATGTGTTCGTCTGACTACTTCAGATCTTGATGATCCATCCATCCATCCATCCATCCATCCATCCATCCATCCATCCATCCATCCATCCATCCATCCGTCCAGTCAGCTAGCCAGCTTTTAATTCTCTAAACCATATTACTTTTTAAGTTAGTACTTTTACTCAAAAACCTTATCCCTTTTCTCACTTTATTTTTGTACTTTTAACTATTAAATAAAATATATAGATTTGCTTTAACAGCTTTTAAAACTTTTATTCAGCACCAATAAAATATACTTTGATATTTACGCGTTTCACCTTTTGACCATATCTATTGCTGTAAAAGAACAACAGTATTTTTTTCTCTTACACAAAAGCTACTCTTTAAGCACAAAACTGAAAAAAGTGTAATGCTCCTTTAATGCTGTGTCTCTTTCCTAAGCTTCACACTGGCAGCCATTACTTATTCACTGAAAGTCGAAACAGTATTGTTTCTCTGGTTTTTGAAGTAACCCATAAAGAAGCGCTATTTTTTAAATAAAGAGACCTAAATAATGTCCGTTGTGTGAGAACCGTCTCAGACTGTGAAAAACAATAAATTCAAAGTGAACTCAACTGCCCCTCTACTGCCCCCCTGCTGCCCCTCAGCTGCCCCTCAGCTGCCCCTCAGCTAGCTCACACATGTACTAAGTCCTTTAGCATTAGCATTGGTTAGCTGTCAGAAATGTCCCGTTTTCTACTCAATACTAATCACAAACTGAATAATGTGACTGAGTAGTTGACATTTGATTTATTAACCTCTTCAACTCTTAAAGGTAACCAGTATATGTGCATCAAAATCCATTTTTACTGACCTGTGATATAGAAAAGACAAGACACACATGCTAAACTTCCTTTCGTCTAATAATTCTTCTGTGTGCCCACAGACACGACTGTCTCTCTCTAGCTTTTGTATGTGGGATCACATTGAATAAGTGAAATCACACTAAAGAAATTATTATAACAAGAAATTAAGGATAGATAAGGAAGTGCCTAAGTAACATTGTGAAACATTAGAATAGTTTTACAGATGCTTTAATGCGGCTACGTCCAGATGAAACCACCAAATCCTCATCTGGCTGCATCTTGGCACCATCGTGCCATTTGATCTTATTCAGGTGCAAGACTGGAAATTAATGTATTTCATATTTGGCACAAAATAGGAAGATGATCCTTTCAAATCATTCATAAAGTTCAGAACTGCGTCATCCACCACTGTTCCTGCGCCCCTGAGACGTTCTTTGTATTCCAGCACAGTTTTGTTCATCAATCACTGCAGGAGGCTCAGGTGGTTTGCCAAAAAAAAAAAGTGAGGATGGGTGAGATTAAAGCAGCAGACATATTAATACACAGAGCAACACAGCTAATAGGTTGTGCATGCTGTTGTGAAGACTGATCAGTTTCTGGCTGTCCACCTTTTGGTTCAACACCTTTGGGAGGTTTTTCATTTGTTTTACTTTTAATTTGACATATTCTTACCCAACAACAGATTTAATTTAAAACATAAGAATATTCTTAAATGAACATGAAGTGCAGATTTTTTTAAAGTACTTCGAATTTACAAATTTCTAAAAGATGTTTAACATTAATTTTTTTTTTCAACAAAAATCTTAAGATTATCACAACCCGCATTATGCTAAAACGAGAATCTTTCAACAAATCGTAAACACAGCATTCAGACGTATTAATAGTCAGCATATTCTGTTTTATTTATGCAAATGTGCCAATCTGTGTCAATTTCAGCATATATTTATAGCATGAAACTCTTTTGAATGTAAAAAAAAAAAATAAGCAGCATCAACACCAAATTAATGTGCCCTCTTTGTGTACTAATGTATGTGCATATGCATTTTTGGGGGAAAATATTTTTGCGAAAGGATCCAAATAATTTAATCTGAGAAGCTGCTTCGCAGAGGAAAGAGGAAAGTTACAGACATTCACAGGATGAAGCTTTTGTAGTTGTGTATTCCTATACATTGGTACTACTGCGTTACCAAAGTTGCTCATCACCACAACTGTTTGCCCTTTCCCTGAGGTAGTTATTTTCTATAGTGTACGGTTAGCGACTCATGACAGCATCACAAACTTCTTCCAACGCTAAGTGAGCCCCAGTTGTAACTTTGCCTTCCAGATCAGAGTCTCAGTGGTGAGCGTTCTAGCCAATCAATGACGTGAGTCTGCCTTTTTGTTTTCATGCTACAGTGCTGTGTGTTTTATATAAAAGAGCCGGCTGTCCAAAGCAAATAACTTGGCAAGTGCTCAAATGAGATCAACTGAACACGAGAATAGCACATTCCAAAGAATCTTAAATGCACCAAGACTGCAGACCCAAACATTCATGCCCCATGAGAGGAGCTTTGATTTCTACTCAGCTGTTGGGCTCTGTGATAAAAAATAATGAAAAAAACAAAAAAAACAGCAGCAGAACCAAACAGTGTTGATGCCTGTTCATGTTGCTGCCAGTCTGAAAGCAAGTTGAGAAAGTGCCAGAATTCACATCTACAGTTGCACACAATGGAGCTCTTTTGTGCAGGACTTTCAGTGTTCAACTTTCTGGAGAGATTAAGGTGCCACGCTTCTCATGTCAACCTTTCATAGCCGTGGGATGACAGATTATATGTTTCTAGCTACCCCTTCTTTTTCCTGACAATTCAGTACAGTCTTATCTGTGTGATATTTGGTTTTGCAAATCCTTTCTTTAGGTTTTGTTGTTGCGCAGCAAGGAGCGTCACGTTATATCGCATTAAAAAAGAGAAACACCATCTGTGGTGATCTTCCGGAGTTAAAATCAAGTCTAGCCTTGCAAATTTATTTGTGGAGTTTATATAATATTCAGTGCCAAATGAAGACAAGTCATGTTTCCTGTTGTTCTTTTCTATCACCTTCCACCCACTTCTATACCTCGTGTCAACATGTCCGGCGCTACATTGTGCGATGTGTTTGCGCAGCCAATTTTTGTGATCATGTCACGGCTTTCCTCGGAGACACGAGCCAGATCCTTCAAAAATGCTGAAGTCCTGCTTGGGCTGAAATCTTTATGAATCTGATATTCTGTTAGAACAGGGGAATAAGAACCTCCCCCCAAGCCTCAAATGCCCTTCTGCCCCTCCACTCCCCCTTTTCTCTTTCTCTCATAGCCTTTGTTTTTTGTCCCTACACCACCAACAACTGATTGTTTTCATCATTTATTGTTTGCTACTGTTTTCCCCCAAATATTCTATCTATATTTATTACTAGACCAATCCAGGGTGTAACCGCCTTGCAAGAACAATCAGTTATAAATGATGGATTATTATTTGTATTTATTCAGGTTTTTCTTTTATTATTACTCTTTGTTTTTTAATTCAGAATTTTTAGTGAGCTATTTATTTAAATACCTCTGTTAAAATATGTATACATATATTTATGTTAATTTTTCTGCCCCTGCTGGAAGAGAGCCTACTGTTCACTGATTCTGTATGACGCATCTCATCTATTATTAGATTAGACTGTCTGTCTCATGCTCTTTGAGTTGATTTTATTCTTATTTTGTTTTCCAAAAAAAAGTTAGTAGTCTGTTTAATCTTATTGTTACTATTAGCGTTATTATTACTGTGGAATCTTTGCATTTTTCTATATTTTCTGTATAAATCTGTCCGTGAATAGTGCGTAGCTCAGGTTTAATAAATGAACACAAAAACCTTTAAAAACAAGAAATTGTTTTAGTTAACTCATTTTTAAGTCAACCGATTAATTTAAAAATTCCTGATCACAAAAATGTTGCATTTTAATAATTCAACATTTTAAAAAATTCAAACCACCCAGTTGGAGTTCTGCCCTCAGAGGGATGTCGAGAGCATCTGACTGACACCGGGATCTGACATACAAACTTCACAGCCCAAAGCTACCAAAAACCTATTTTCTTGATTTTCTTCTTTTTCTCCCCACATCGCTGCTGGAGGATCCACAAAACAGAGTGACAGCCGATGCAACACTGAAGGAGAGCCTGCATTTTTTAAAACTCAAATGGTTCGCTAAGTCGCCACTAGATGGCAGTGTAGTGTCAGAAAAGTTCTGAGCAAGTTTCACCCCGCCCCGCTCCCTCAAAAATGCATCATTACACAAACTTTCAAAGGATTCTTCTCCTTTCTTTTTCTCTTAGAGGATGTGAATATGTAAAGAGAAACACTTGTGCGAGCCTGGATATTTATTTTGGGAAGTTGCCTCCATCGTGCCGTGACTCCTGACCTCATGCCTCGTTTGACTGGGGTCATCCTGTGGGTGTGGTTGCGGTGACTGCAGAGAGCTCAGGAAATGAATGTTTTATCAGCCTGCAGAAAGACAACAACAACAACAGCAGCGTAGTGGGTGGGAACACACAGAAACCTCTAAATTTATCCCCGTCAGCTGAGGCCAAACCAAATAAGATCAACGGCAGACAGTTTCCTGTAGGTTCCTCTTCCAGAACATCTGAGATTTCACCAAGCAGATTGCTCCCAAGTTTACTGAGACCTCACATTATGTGGATGCAGCTTCATAGCTGCTGCTGCTGCTGCTGCTGCAGCAGGATGATGTTGACAGTGTGGGGAGGAATCGGCGCCTGAAGTCATGACATTACACAGTGTCAGTGTTTCATCCAGAATTCATGTCAGTTTGGAGAGCTACACAGAGACCCCTCGAATCACAGGTTTGCTTCCCACACATCACCTCCCGTCATTCTGTCCTTGCTGTGGCAGTGTAAGCCAGTGTCTACAGCGCGTAATTACCTCGTATACCCAGCAGAAAAGCGTGATCTCTTCAAAGGTCTTCTGTATTCAGGTGGTGCAGAGGAGAGGGAGAGCTGCTCGTCCTACTCATTCAGTGTAAAGAGACTATGTGGGAGGAGGTGAACGCAGGCAAGCATTCGCTGTGTGCAATGCCATCCTCGAGAGCAAAATTTAGAACATGAGGCACTCAAAGCAAGCAGGAGAAGAAAAAAAAATGTGCCAAGATGGAGATAGATGCAGCTTCCCTCCATTTATGTTTCAGCAGAAATGAAGCTCGATTACTCCTGAATATTAAAGTTTCGTATCAGTAGAAAATGAAGTCGAGCACATCTCTACCTGAAGGAAATTACTCATTATTGCAATGTGTAAATAGGAGGGGCAGACGCTTGATCCACCCATTTTGCCCATTGCAGTCCAGTCTCATCTGAAGGTCTCCACAAACCCCCTCTGTCAGGTCTTCCTGCCTCCCCGTGAGAATAGGCAGCCGCCGTCACAGACAAACGGTGGGAGTTCAGGAGATCTGAGGCAAAGCAGCAGTTGCCTGTTTTTTTCTGGGAAACCAGATGACCCTTCTCTTGCTGATAATGTAAACAGTCATCTAACTGAGCCTGGAGCCATGGGACTTGGAAATAAAACCGGAGGAATTTTGCAACAGGATAAGTGTGAAAACAGCCAACTCTGTAAGGTGTGTTCATTTCTCTTTTTGTTACTCTTATATACAGAGAGTGTACAAGCATGCAGGAGCTCCAGTGATAAGTGAGGATTGATGGTTGAGGAAGTGCTGATAACTGAAACAAGGCACCATATATGTCAACATATATTCTTTTAGCACATTGTAAATTATAATAATTATTTTCTAGGTTTGGATGAGAGAAGAAAAATAGGATATATGCATTCATTCCTACTGTTTAAAAACTGTTCATCCATCCATCCATCCATCCATCCATCCATCCATCCATCCATCCATCCATCCATCCATCCATCCATCCATCCATCCATCCATCCATCCATTCATCCATCCATCCATCATTATTGTTCAGCACTTTGCTTGGACCTGGTTGAAATTTAAAAGTACCGCATATATAAAGTGTTATGTGTTGTAATTCATTTGTTTATCTGTTTAGCCATTCATGTATCTGTTGACCTTTCTGTTCATCCATCAACACAAGTTCCATATTTCAGACTGGTCAGTGCAGAAACATCAGCAGCAAGTTACACTATTGTATTAATACTTTATATTGGTATAATATAGACAGAGAGCTCATGTAAACGGAGTCTGGAAAAGTGAACATTTTTTTACATGAAATGTGTAGGAATCCTGTTGGTTTCGTCTTACTTTCCTGGACTTTTAGATAACACCCTGGCGCTGCTGAACTCCACTAAATGGACTGTTTGCAGCTGCACTGTCAACTCCATCCGCGGAGGTTGCAAACAGCTGGTTTCAATAAACGTGGGCCAGCAGAAACATTAGTCTGAGTGAGCATTTGTTGACTTTACATGTGGAGCTGGGGGAGCACGGCGTTTCATAATATGCGTGTCTGGTGATGTAAGTTATAGGCTCCAATAAAATCAAATAGGCAGGTCATGACCCAGATCCCTTCACCCTCGCGATCGATTGTTCTTTGGACAGTTCATATCTCTTTACATATTTTGCGTGCTACGAATTTTAGCTCAGATTAAGCTGACTTTAGTAGCTTGCCAAATTCTTTCAAACCTGCATTCATTCATCACTCTGGTCAAATCGATGATATTTTATTAAATGTCAGCATGTAGTTTAAATGTAAGAGAGACTTTTAAGACATATAAAAGTGAAAATGTCCTTGTTTCAATCAGCTTTGACTCAAAAGCTACAGCCACACCACCTCCACCAAATTTGAACTGAACCACATACTAACCACTGGAGGCCATCCAAAGACAACCACAGTGGAGACTCCAGCCAACTCCTCCACTTTTGTAAACAAGTCTGCCTTTTACCACACAGCTGCAATCTGTGTACGTGCGTGTGTGCGCGTGTGTGTGTCTGACTGTAATTACGAGCATGTGTAAGTTGCCGCAGAGGGAACCATTCCAACTGTAACAATGTGAATTATTTCAAGTTCAAAGTGGATTCTCTGTGGTACCCCTCCGCCCTCCCACCACCCTACCAGCATAGAGGGGTGCAGCCCAGCCATTTTCAACTAAAGCTGGAGTTTGCACTCTAAATAAATCCAGACAATGACACCGTTTTATTATTGTTTTTATTTTTTTTTGCAGAAATTCAAAGTCGCTTGCACAACTCTTCCCTATAATTGGTCCGTCCTACTTGTCACGGTGTAATTGCACGCAGTGCATTGTTTTTCCTTCTTTAAGTCATAAAGTTTGACCTTGGTGTCAGTTTCTGATTTTCTGATTTCTTGTAGCTCACTCAAAGGTTCCCTGAGTCGTGATAATGTTGCATTCAGAATGAAGAACGCAGCACCGGTGCATCGTAGGACGTCCACTCATGACAAAAGTAGTGATAGGAAAGTCTTCATCTGTGTTTACTTCCACCGAACACCCAGATTCCCAGCACATTTGTTTCCAAGTGTCTTGCAACATCCTTTTTCTCTACTGCCAGTAGGTGGTTGAATGCATTTACTTCTATAGTGGGCATACTCTGTGCATGACAGAGTTATGTCATGTCTATATAAAATATTAACTGACTTGA